CCTATTCGTGTTTTCACAACTCGACTTGGTCCTGTATTCGGTCAATCTGCTTAGTCGTCGTACTACGAGTTACGGCGAACTTGATCTCTCCCCCCGCAGTGCTGGTAGTGCCGTGGGTTTCGCGATGGAATGTGTTGGTGATGGCCTCATTATAGCCTCCATAGGGAAGATTGGTCATCAGGGATCTGCTGCTACATTGATGGTGCATTGGGTCCGCTTCAATGGATATGCCGTTGAGAGCAGATTGATATGGACAAAGGAGCTTCAAGGATGCCCTTATCCCGAGTACGCTGATCTGGCTATATCGTCTGATGGTGGCGATGAGGGGCCGAGGAGAATTCATTTTAGTGTTGGAGGGGGAGGGGGAAGTTGCGTTTGGGAAGGAGACATTATTGTCCGTAGGTTTGACGAAGAGGTCAGTGAAGGAAAGATATCTTTGCGCACTATGAAGGATTCTTCCGATAGGATTCTTGAGGGCTTGGGGGAAGACGGAGGAGCGGAGGTATCGGAAGAGAATTCGTTTGGTCCAGTAGTTTGTATGAGGCGTAGTGGTAAATTCATTGATGTTTTGAGAAAACAGTGGGGCCGACCTAGGCCAAAGGAGCTTGTTTTGGAATCTTTCATTATCGATCTTAGATAGATTCAACACACATATGCATGCATTTGTTTCCAAGAATGAGTTTTGAATTTAGTGGCGCGCGGTCAATTCAGCAGTGGATGGAAACCTTTACGAAATGCCGTCATAACGCGGGAGCCTCGGTGCTCTCAACACTCAAATGACATCGTTTTTGAGGAGTGTGCATTCTTCTGAATTCGTCTAGGCTCTATTGAGTCTGCTCTCAAAGCCGATCTTGGTGCTCGAGTTCGCTAAACTGAACAGCAGACGTATGCCTTTGCCGCGGCTTACTACCGTGTCCGATTCGGCTACGTAAATCCAAAGCTCATCTGCCGCTGGTGTCGAAGGAACAGGTAAGAGGGTTTGATCTTTTCCCTAAGCTCAGTCTCAGTTGCACGGACTTGTAGAAAAACTTAGGATCGAGCGCCTCGTGACGCGGGCTCCCGTCGAATTCGCCATCAAATAGCGGCCAATGGCCGGCCTCGGTGGTGCGCCCCCATAATGGCCATGCGGCTACCATAGTCTTTGATGTATATCAGTATGGTGGCAGTCAGGATCAAGCCGACGCAACAACGCCTCAAGACGGAGCTGGTGTTGACGGAGCGCCAGAGCAACAATTTTGAATTTTGAGTTGAGATTCGATTCAATCGTTGCATCTCCAATACATCAGTGAACTTAGTAGTCACTCCCTATAGCATAAGGATCGTATTACTCATCAGCAGTGCTGACTCAGCACTCACCCGATTACGCCGAGTAGAATGTCTTGTGAACCGGGAGTCGGACATTATCTCCGATTTCCCGTGAATCAGAGAGGCGTGATGTCTGCTCTTGAGGATATGTATTGCCGTCAATCCAATTCTACTCCCGAACGCGAATGCGCACCAGGTTACGGAGTACTGTATCATATGAAAATAATCAGGGAGAGGTACCACGAGTGAAGTCTGTGTTGCATGAGCAGCAGACAGGGCATTCACATCACAGCTCCGTCAGCTACTCTCGGTATTTTACAGAGAGAATGCGGACGGATCAAAACCATCACTGATAAGATACTGTAGTACAACGTAACGTCGTAATGACTACTGACTCCGAAAGGTGATGTCGCCATTCTAAGTACTCTTCACCGAATCGAGATGCACATCCAAATGGGTTTGAAGAGATACGAAAAACGTTGTTCACCCACCTGGGTAGGCTGGTCGTAGACTGAGCCATCGAACCAATATATCAGTCATTCTCGCTGAGAGGTTATATGCCCTCTCAATAAGCGAGTAGATGAGATAGAAAAAAGGAGTCAGAGTCGCCAGCCGAGTCGAAGGGAGAATAAGAGCGTAACCACGAACGAGAATGCATCGGGGAGTGTAAACATCTGAGATCCGTTTCCGATATGAGCTGGGACCATGGCTGATCATACAGAACAAGGCGGTGGGTTCCGCGAAAGTAGAGGACATATGACATGTGTAGCCACATCAGGACCATGTGCCATCTGGTAAGTAATATGTAGTTAAGATAGTGCGAATGAACCTTAAGCGGATGATCTGACGAAGGCGATAAATTTGCCTTGGAATGGAGCAGCTATTATGGGTTGAGTTCCTGGGACAAATATCAGTTGGGTCATATCTCCCTCTTCAATTTTCGCTTCCGGGAAGCGAGAGAGGATATTCTGGTACCAGTAATCGACTTCCTTGAATGTGACCTTGAAATCGACAGTATATCCATTGTTTCCCTTTAGGGGGTAGACCGGCGGGTCCCTGAAGGGTGCCTGGCCCGGGACATGGAACTCGAGCCCGACTCCTGAATCGGCGACTACGTAGGTCAATTGGTAGCCCTGCGCTTCGTGAACGTATCTACCATCAAGCTGAGCTACAGCTACCAGAACATGGCAGGCCATCAACAAGGTCAGTAGGAGTGTCATCATTATTGAAAGGGATTAGAGTCTGGGAACTCAGTGAAACTGCCAAACAACAGAGACCGATATCGGGGAGACGTTGTGAGGAGCAACGATAATGATGTTAGTAACATCATGTTACACTACTGCTCGATCGAGATACATGTCCGAATGCGATGA